GTGTGTGTGTGTGTGTGTGTGTGTGTGTGTGTGTGTGAGAGTGTGAGTGTGTGTCTGTGTGAGTGTGTGCACACATGAGCCGTCTGTCGACTATTTTTGTGCTGACCAGTATCCTCAGTGGCTGATTCCAGACAGATAGCAGCATTAGCCGTTAAATGGATAAAGTTACCAGCTTCACAGTCCTGCTGGGCTCTGGCTGGGCATTCCCAGGGCAAAAGGGGCAGCAAGTGACAGCACTTGTGCCCTGTGTCCCCGGGCAGGCGGGAAAACGGCAGCGGGGTATGCCTGGACCTGCAGGTGATCGACACGGTGTCGGGTGGGAAGGTGGAAGAGGAGACGGAGACGCACCACCTCCTAACCGGAAACCTGTACAAGCCTCGGAGGAGGGTAATGGAGCCACGGAGTTTCTGTGTAGCTCTTGGGGCCGCCGCCCTAAGCTCCTGTTTCTAATCCGTCCATAATCTGACTCTCGCCTTCTGGCCCCCAGTACCATGCCCACTACAGCCGGCACTTTATGACCGTGGGGGATAAGGAACGCCAGGACCGGGAGGTGTTCCAGAGGAACATGCGCAGCCGCCTCGAGTCCTTCAAATCCACACGGCACAAGGCCAAGGGGCGGCACAAGAAAGAGCGCAGCCAGAAGAAGGCAGGACCCCCCGCATACAAACACACCGAGCTCCAGTTAGCATCCTCAGTCACCATAAGGGCTGCCATCTGGGTCAGCAATGGATGGGTCTGGTCTGGCCTGCTTGGGCGTGGCCCCCTCACGCAGTGCCAGGACACCAGCCTGGGAATAAGCCTACAGTCTTTGTCATGACTGATTGTCCAGTGGTGGTCAGTCAAGCCAGCACTAAATGTCACAGTTTCGCTGACCCTCCTGAATCACCGCATTTCATTTACTATCATCAGATGCAAAAAGTCAGTGTCTGAGAAGCATTACGATACGAGTAGTAATTTGACTGGGAAATACTATTGGCATCCTCTGTAAAACCAGTCTAGTACGTGTGTAGGATAGTTACATACTCACAGCCACTTCCCTTTGCAGAGAAAAGGTTCGGATGCAAAAGAGCAAGAGGTCAACGGAAAACCCAGGAGAAACGTCAGCTGGCAGGACACAGGTACCAACCATACTTCCGCATCGTCGGTGTGGTTTTTCATACACTGCGGCGTGGTTAAAGGCAGTGTTCCTGTTATATTTATTGTGCAAATGAGTTATCTTTCATGTGGAAAAACTGCATATTATGATTAGCGTTGGGCAGCATGATGGCTCACACTTCCAGTGTTTGGGGTTCGAATTCCACCCCCGCTGTGTGTGGGTGGAGACTGAATGTTCTCATCAATGTGTGGATTGCCTCCAGATACTTTGATTTCCTCCTGCGTTACGAAGATGTGCCGTTATGTGAATTAGCATCTTTAAATAGTGCATTTGTGTGTGTGCTGCATCAGAACGGCGTTTCATCCATGCTGTTCCCTTGGCCTTTGTTGCCAGGGATGAACTCCAAGACACCAACAACCCTGTACTGGATGAGTGGTTATATTATTGGATTATGCGTTATGTGGTACTCAGCATTTCATTAGTCGGTGGCCTATAACTTTAATGGGAATGCAATCCAGTCAGCTCATCGCTTGGTAGTTGTTTAACTTGTTGGGTAGCAAGCACAACAAGGCTACTAATGTACAGTGTGCCCTCTTGTACCCCACAGATCCTGTGACAGCCCCCGTTGACTCACCAGAGGAGAGGAGTGAGGAAGAAGCTGACAAGGACGAGGACGTGGGCATCACCTTTGTGGCACGCAAGCACGAGACTCTTAAGGAGCCCCTCAAAGAACGGCCAAAGTCAGGTAGGTGGGTCTGGTGTGTGAGGCCAGTGCAGCTGCTGTTGTTGTAGAACAGGAAAATGAATGAGATCTTTACCGTGGTCGGCTGAGGGACTTCAGAGTATCCTGTGCTCGAGTACAAGGTGATTAAACCTAGAGAGTCCTTGTTGATGTAGTTTCCATGTGAATACTAGGGTTGACCAAAAAAGGAACACATTAATGAGCCAGCGTTCCTTCTTATGAAGAAGGGTTTCCTTCCTCTCTCACTCCCAGATATGTTGGAAGTATATCAGAGCCTAGCAGTCATTCCCCCGTCTCCAACCTGCGCAGAGAAGCACCTGCCCTGGAAAGGGGGAGGTGGTACCCTCCCAGTGTGTGTCTCGATGGAGACCACCAAGATCATTCCCATTGACCTTCAGCAAGCCTGGAACCAGAGCATCTCCTCCCTGGAAAGCCTAGCCTCGCCTCCAGTGCAGGCTGAACCGCAGCACCCACGTGTCCGGGCCCTTAGCAGGGCAGAGGCGGCCCGCGGGGGTAACAGTGGGGGCAGTGACAGTGGTGGGAGTGGCCCAGCCCAGGACCCTCGATTCCATTTCCCAAATGAGGAGGAGAATGGCCAAAGCCTCCAACAACAGGAAAGCCAGCCACTCATGTCCTCCATGAAACCACCTGCACCCCCCCAAGTTTCCTCTACCCAGGGCATGGGGAGGAGACCACCAACCTTCAACAGGAACCCCTGTGTGTACCTGAGAAGCCTAGTATCAGCATCCCCCCCAGGCAGCGAGCCACGCAGCAGAGGGCCCACGCAGCTCTAGTCTGCCCTGCTGACCTCTTATTCATGACATTCATACCAACACCAGACTGACTGCATGGAGAAGGTCTCTCTCATCCATCGCTGGATGTCTGGACAAAGCCGGATCTAGGCACAGACAAAACTAGGCAGTGACCTAAGGCTGTCGGCAAAATCTGCCCGCGAAACCATTTACACTATGTCACCTTTGTAAATTACAAAAGACCCAAGTCTGACCCTAAACACAGATCTCTCCAGGTCCTGTTGACCTAACTGAAGAGCAGATTTCCAAAACTCACTCAATCCATGGGATTCGTTTTCGAGAACATTTCTGTGGGCTTTTGAGTTTTAGATATTTTATGAAAGTTCTTCGTTAGATCACATGAGCGCTGAATGCGTTTTGGTTCCCAGTACAGTACCTCGTGATGAGGAAGCCGGATTTTAGGTCATTGGCAGTCTCAGCAACAAACAACAAAAATGGACTGAGTTTTAGAAATTTACTATTCAGTTGGGTATGTGGATTTTATCATCTGTCATATTCAAACCTATTCATATCTGACATGTTAGTTATTGTTGACATACCACAGCATAGGGCAGGTTTACAGTCACCTGACATGGGAACTTAATGCGGGGAACCATATACACATTTATAGAATGTGTACCAGAAACATCATCATCCGTGCTCTTTGTATATCATAACAACCACCACCACCACCACCACCACCACCATCATCATCATCATCATCATCATCATCATCATCATCATCATCATCATCATCGGAAGGCGATGCTGCTCACCCTTGTCATCTTCGTCGATCCTTAACGCCACAGCGATGTACTCGAAGGCCTGCTTGTGGTGGTTGCGGATCTGCTCGCCGCAGTCCTCCGTTTCCTTGCCGNAAACCATGACAACCACCACCACCACCACCCCCACCCCCCGGAAGAAAAAGAAAAAAAAAAAAAAAGAACACTCCAAACATGCAAACACTGGACCAAATTTCCTGCTATGGAATGCATTAAAGTTTGTTTCTATCATCCACAATCATGGTGCCCAAAGTGACTTGAGACCAAAGCGGGCATCCAGATGGGGTGCGGCCTGTGCAGCTTCCCCTCGGGTCATGTGCCATACCTGGAGTTCCTGTCCAAATGCCCAGGACTCTCCTCCTCCGGGGGGCGCTGTGTAGGGCTCCCCTTCATCTTCTCAATAGTTCAGGGAATTTCACCACAGCTTGTGCAGTGCCTGTCTTGTCAGCCCCCTCTGTTCAGTAGTACGCATTTATGTAGACATAGGCTATCTTAAAAAGATGTGCAACTACAAGTCGCTGTTTTATGTATACAACTGATGCCTTATTGGCATAATATATGGATCAAAGATAAATTTAAGTTCTTCTGGAGCTGTGTATTGGAAATTCACAATGAAAAGTAAGTGTTTTTTTTTTTTTTTTTAAATATATGCAGGTACCATAGTACAGAGTAATAAAACATGTCACTATAGTAGGTGGTATTTCCTCTTGTACTGGTGGACACCATCTTCTGTTCCATACTTGTGAAATCTGTAGTCATGCAATAGCTGTGCTTTTAAATTATTTTTGTCTCCGTTATTATCCTTTAATTTGTTTATGCAGCCTTATTGTATTTATTTAATTTGTGGTTAACTGATGAAACAGAAACACTGGGTAAAGAAGATAACCGTTACAAGGATATACGGTAACTACCAAAGTGAATAAAAAGGAACTTCTAAGTTTTCTTAAATTGTCTTTTTGTTTGATCTTTCTCCTTTTTGCAGTCTGCAATGCAACTGGACGTGAGAGAATTCATTTTGATCATTTTGATGTAATGGGGAGGAAAACTTGGTTAGAATATTAATAGCGCCTAATCAGAAGTTAATTATTAATGAAGCTTAATGTGCAATTAACATAGTCCCTTCCTTTAGCATGTTTTGCAATTTATTGCTGTAGCCACAATTTATCGATAAAGATTAATACATTGCTCCTTGTTAGAGTCCAAATCATGTAACCCAAATTTCAGATAACTAGAATTTGCAGGAACAAACAGAATACAGGTGTTAGGAAACTCTTCATAATGGATGTGCTACCAACAGAGGAAGTTGCAATTTTCCTTTACTGAAGGGAGGCTCATAGTCTCTCCCAGGCAGCATAGGGCACAAGGCAGGGGTACACCCTGGGTGGGAGGGTAGGTCATCACAGGGCACACACACATTTTACAGATACCAGTCAGCCTAACTTCCTGCTTTTGGAATATAGAAGGAAACATGAGTACAGGTGTGACACATAACAGACAAACTCCACACTATTCTGTATATTTTAGCAATTATATATAATTACACAAGACTGTTTAACATCTTGTAACAACTTGAATGTATGACAAGTGGCCAAACATTTGGAGGTAATGTTGTTTATACAAAAATGCTTTGTACAGTACTTCTCCGGTACCATGCGATCTTTTCCCCGAAGAGTTAATCCTAAATCTTCAGCACTGCGAACTTGTATATGTGGATATATGAGCTGACAGAGCAATTTCCCTCTTTCATCGTATATATCATTTGAGAAATGAAGTGGTGCTGTCACAAAGTCTTGAAGCAGTGGGACTGGGACTGTGCTACTGTGGTCCCTTTGTGGCCTTGACAGTAGGATGTCCTTGTCACGATCTGCATATGCGGAAACCCAGAAACGCGTTTTCCATTCACAAATTGGCACAGTGCCGAATAACAAAGAAAATCCAATCCCAACCTTTTGCACCTATCTGCACAGATGTATAATATTGTGCCTTTGGAATAAAGAACAGAGCTAGAAAATAGAGAGGGCCCTCTGTCCAGCATGTGGTGCCACAGCCAGTTTCCATATATCTCAAGTGTCATCAATATTCAAACTGTGTAAAATTTTAATTTCTTGTAAAGTTATAATAAACCTATACTGCACAATGTTTATTTTGTAATTTCATTGTTCTATTTTCTTTGTGCCTACATCTTCTCTTGCCATAGTTATAGCTCCGAAGAGAGCTACTAAATTAATGGCGAGCAATTGGAACAGTATTACTGCTGGTCACGTGACTTTCCTCTGGCCTTGGATGAATCGTGCCAGTTTTAACGGAGTCTCTCATAACCAAAAAAGTTATGCTAAAGTAATAGTAGTGCTTATCAATGTGACAAAATATCAAGATATTTTATTTCACGTCAGCCGATATAATTATCACTATATATAATTCAAGTCAATTTTTTTTCACTTCAAGGCTCTATTTTTGCTTAAAATTCCCTATGAACTGCCCGTAAACAGATACAGAACATGAAAAAAGCGAATGAATGGAGCATTGAATGGACCGCAAACTGAAATCTAATTTCAATTAATAAATTACAGAAAAATTTACATTAATATGTTAGGGCCGGCGTACCACTACAAAACGTCAGCAGTGCGGTTTATTGCTACTGTAGGTGTTTTCCTCTGACTGCCTTTCTACCCCCTTCAATTTTATAGGACGATAAGGCAATATATCATTTACATCGCCCAGCTCCCATAGAATAGCGTGCCATTAAGAAAATCGAGCGTTTTTGTGTACAGGTACGTGTTTATCCCAGCCATGTTTTCTGGTAAAGTAGTTATTTTAACTTATCCCAGATTAAGTAAAATAAAAATATATCCCCCGCGAGCCTATACTGGGTAAATGGCTGGAAACCGGATAAAAGGACAGTGCTTGGACTCACCACCTTTAGGACAACAGTCTTGCTTTTAGTACTAAATTACTGCCTGCATCACGTTTTCAAGACTATAAAATGAAATGCATACAAAAGGACCTTGATTTCCACAAAGCTGATAACGAACTTCAATGGTGTTCGTAACAACAAATCATTTAATTGTACTACATCCTTCTAGGAACTGAGTTAAATATATGATGTAATGTTCGGCAGCGCAGCTGACCAGTATAAATTATGATTACTGTGGGTGGAGGTGGAAGTATCATACAAAATTAATGTGCTTCTCGTCAGGTACGTGTCAAGGTCACGCTGGCATTTGATAACCATACATTTGCGATGTATGAATTATTGCGTCGCGCAAGAAGCATTAAAGGTGTTATCAGTAAATATTTCAGTGGTTATTTTGTACATATTTTCCTCCAACAACACTCAAGCCCCTTTTGCAGCCACAGCCTACAAAAACAGACGAACAATTAACGCCAGCAACCGAATTATATGATAAATATATTTTTGCTAAACTAACTTAACTAAACCAACTTCTTGTCTTAATGTTTTACAAGCGCTAAAAGCAGCCAGAAAGTATAGAACTCCGCACAACGTCACTTGGCCCTAATTGGATTATTCGCAAAGAGGCAGTCGGTTTGTTCAAATGAAAACACGTGGTTACTTGCAAGCCAATCATCGGTTAAAATGGAAGGGCGGTAAAGGCGATGTGGCGTTTGCGGCTTCAACGACTTTAACAGTAAGTAAAACTGTTAATGTAACTTTAACTTTATAGCTAAGGCATTTTATTTATATATACATAGTCAGCAATTCGTTGTAGTAATATTAAATTTAAGTAAGAAAATTAGGTACTAGTTGCTAATGTAAGAACGTTATTTAACGGTAGCGTTAATAGGAACGTGTACAGTAATTGAGACATGCCACCTTAGGCATACAGATTTTTGGGCGGTGGATAACAGACAGTAGGGAGAAGTGTGCAGGTTAGGATTTGGCGGCATTATGGCAGTACCCCTTCCCGACAAATTTTATCGTGAAATATCGGAATATCGTTGCTTTTTAAAATTCATCAAAATACAGTATACTGCGGTGTAACGTGTATGCGGTATAATAACGGTATTAGAGTTAGATTCTGCCTAAGCCGGGTGCTGGCTGCGGAGTGACGACTTGCCAGCAGTATATTTTCCGACCTGGCGGTACAGGATTGCAGCAAATTTTGACCGTCGCTAAATAGTGAAGGACAGATTCCAGGGACACTGCGCATCATTCGCTGGTGTCAAGGAGCTGCTATCAATTTGTGGGAGACTCCCGGAACTTCTGGGAGACGTACGTAGGATGTCTGCTTATGAGGTCCCTTAAGGCTTAAGCTCTGTTTAGTTAGGTGTCCCTGAAATAGTGACATTTTATTTTCTTTTTTTTTTTTTACTTCTTCCTTTTTTACTTTAGAGTAGATTTCCATATAACCAGTTCTCCTGGTTACTTCCTAAATAATCCGACAGCCTAGTCGACTACCGAAATAAAACTTTTAGAGATTAAATAACACGTTGGCACCATCATTAGGCTACAACTTAAGATTTAGGTTGGTATTTATACTTCCAGTCAAAGTTTACGGGGATTTTACATTTTGTGCGGGTCAACCCCTCGAGATGTAAACGTATTTAAAATGAAACGTGTACTTCCAGAGCTTCATCACATTTATGATGATTATGTTAGAAAACATCGCAAGCTATACTGCTTAATTTCCGTGTTTGGTGAGCAAAAAAAAAGGAAATGACTTAGTTGCTTATAATAATGTACATGCAGTAAATACGAGGTATCTTGCCTTCTTTTTGTGTATTGAAACATTGTGGCTCTATCTCTGTATTCCCATGCACAGATAAACAAGTTATCTCTCTCATTAGAATCTCTTTCTGTAAGATAAAGCAAGAAAAGTCAGACGTTCCAAATCACGACCAGTGATCAGGATTATTTTTCCACCCCTCTCCTCCCTCCTTTGAAATATGAATAGCCGGGTGAAGTAATGACATGAGCATAAAGAGTCTTTCCAGCGAGTTGTGGCTGAATGTAATCCCTCGCAGTTTGTGAACTGCAGTGAATTTCACACTCCACAGCAAAGGGAAAATGAATAGTTTGAGTGCATTGTACACTTGGAAAGCGCAGGGTGGGCCTCTATACCCCATTCTAGTATTTGGCATATCTTTTTTTCCCTAAAGGAAAACATGGTTTGCATAATGGTAAGATTGTCCATTAAAAATGTTATGATCATTAATAGTATTATACTGTAATACTTGTGGAGGAATTCAGGTATTTTGCATTGATGATTGTAGCTATATGTGAGGCCTGAGAATGAAAGGCACAAATGTATCAGCCTAAGATTTCTGTGCATGTACAAATCGTATGTATTTAAATTGAGACATGCAGTCTGTTAAGCATTTACTATTCACTCATACTAATAACACAATTAGTCATTTTGGAGTACAATACTTGTATAAAACTTGTACTTAAGCATTTCATTGTGTTAAAGAATATTTTCTTGTTTTATGATTTTGAAAAGATTGTTATTGTTATTGCACCGCTGTGCAAAAGATACATCTAGTTATCTGCTTGCAGCTAAATGTAATGCTACTGGTAGTGAATTGTCTGGTCTGTTGTCTAGTGCTGACCACTGAGCAACTATTGTAGAATTATACAAAAAGTAAGGAATTTTGGTGCTTCAGACTTATGAAGTGATTTTCTTATTTTTTTTCTGCAATTTTTACAATTATAATTTGCCTACATTTTCACAGTGATTGTTTCTGGTCACTTGTGAGCTTTGGAATGGGTAGTGGAAGTCGGCAGTGGGACTGTGTTCCTTGAATTTCCTGTGTGTTAACTATGCCTTCACAGTAACTCCAGGTATAAAGGCTTTGGCACCACAGAGAGTTCTTGACATGGCTTGTCGAGGGACAGGGGATTCTAGTAATAACATTGTATCCGTCTCATATTTTGAAACAGATTTACTTGTGCCAAGGTTTGATAGCAGTTCTGTTGATGAATCACCAGCTATTGTAAAACTCTTTTCACTGTAAAACTTGCAAAAGCACCTGTATGAGTGCATTGCTTGCATGTTTCTTGTTGGGATAAGTGCTGACCTTTGTTTTTAGGTAAACATGTTTTCACAGTCCTTTATGGTATAAGCATTTTGTTGTCCTACTATTATGTAGTAAATCTGAGTTAAGCCAGAGTATGTATTGGAATGATGCAAAATCCAAACACACATTGATGCAAAAGGCTTTTTTTTACCTTTATAATTTCTCTGGGTTTTTTTCTGCATGGTTTGGTTCTTTGAGCCATGTCACTGCATCCTCTCTATCTTTCACCGGGCTTTCTGTCTTCACCGGGGGATTAACTCACTTTAAATGAAAATAATTGCTGAAGTACAACCAGATATCACATGGGAATAATCCTTGTATGTGGCACAAATGAAAGACTGTCCGAGTGTCAGATTACAGCCCTTCAACATCTGACAAAAGCACACCAGCAGTGGGAGCCCAGAAACCTCCCAACCCGACAGTTACAGTCCTCATTTTGTCTCCCAGGAAGTCGGAGGATTGGCACACTAGGGGCAAGTGTTTTAATCAGCTGGGTACTGCAAATGGTATCAAGTTAATGCCAACCTCTGTGGTATTAAATGGATGTTGAGGGTGGCCAAGGATATCGAGGATCTTAATCGGCAATAAAAGAAAGATTAAACTTGTGTTCATTTGGTTAATACACTCCAGTAGGCAGTTTGAGGTGATATCTGAGTTTAGTTTAGAGCAGATGACATTTTTTTTAATACTTCAATTAAATACATCTACAGAAATTCAGAAAATGAATTGAATAAATGGATTTTTATGTGTTTACTGGCCCTGGAGAAAACCGCAACCCCTACACTTGTGCCAGAGTAGATTTTCTAGCTTCTGAATATTACAAAGGAAGCATAAACTCAGTGAGACAGTGATTCCACATTGGCCAGTCAGCCCATGACAATGGGAGTCTCTTTTGTATTTTAATAGATTTTTTTTTGCTGCTATTTTTTTTTGCTAGTGTTGTACATGTGTTCACTTATCTGTCCATTGACAGTACTGGACTTGCCCCACAGAGCGTGGGTGAATTGAGCTGTCACATGGAGCAGAAGTTCGTGGTGATAATTTTTGCTACTTGAATGTGATTAACCACTGAATACTCCAGATCCCAGGATGAGAACAAGACCTTCAGTCTACAGTGTGTCACCACGACTATTGTTTTTTTGCACTTTCAGACATGTTTCTGTGTTTAAAGAATTCCCAGTTTATTAAGTGACAAGTTTCATCACTGTCCTTAGGTTTACTCTTATTGTTACTTTGTGTTAAATGTTTATTTTTCAGCTGCATATTGCACAACCACTGTAGAAAACTAGCCTGGATGGGTGGAGTCAGTGAGTGTGTAAGCAGCAGTCATGTGACAAATAGGGTGGCACTTTTTTCTTGTACTTTCTTGTGTACTGTCAACAGTGGAACACACATAGGCTCTGTTGGTAGAGAAGCCATGGAGTGATGTACAGTTGGATGACTGTGGTGCACATGCTTAAGGGGAGCACTCTATACATCCTGAGCAGTAGACCCCATGGGATGGGCACTGTCCTACTCAGGAAGCGCAGATGCATGACTAGCAGAGCTCTGCCAGGAAGTGTCGGATGTGTGCAGTCTGAAATCCAGGCCTTTTTTCCCTGAATTCTATAAATGGATGTCACTCTTAACCAGTCTTTACTCGTACACCACCAAGCATTCTGTCAATAAATATTACGTCACCAGCATCTGAAAGTTTTATAGATGGTAACTATGTCTTACTATCCCACAGTGAAACACAAATATTACAAATACAACCTGAGATCAGAAGTGTATAGGCCTAGCATACCCAGACTTGCTGTGTAGTCGCTGTGAGTCACACCTTTTTAGTGCTTTTGTCGTTAACTTGTTGCATAAGAATGTGTTTGAGAGCCGCCTTGCCTAGCAGGCAATAGCAATGAGCTACTCGTCTCTTCTAACTCCCACTTGTCATTCAAACACAACTCTTCATTTGTATTTATGCTTAGATGAGACGTCGCTGAATGCTGAGGTCTTAAGGAACAGGTAAGCTTTGAAAACACGTCATAAAATGTCTTGCGGCACATGAGATAAGGATGGAATTATAAACGTATGAGAGCATTTGTCTGGATTTTTAATAGTTGATAAAATTTTTGTCTGGTATAGACTTTAGATATTAAAGACTGTTTGTTTGTGTTTCAATGTTGTGAATGGAATACTTTTTAAAAGAAATATTCTGTCTGCATCTGTTTAAACTGGTCCTCAGCTGAGTTTTTGCTTTGGGTCTTTTTATTCCATATTCTATATATACACTTCACTGGCAAGCAGCAATGTTCTTCTTTAGTGTTAATTGGATGCTGATGTTGGGTGCCCCTCTGTAGTCTTGAAAAGGATTTCTTATGCTTTCATTTGGAACGTTCCTGAACTTGACCTCAAAAGGGTATTTTTTCTGGTGTGCTGAGTTAATTAGTGGATTTTCTCTTTTTTTATTCAGGATGGACCCTGCTACCCAGCTTCTCTGACCTTTTGATAAAGGCTAAAAAGAATTGCTAAATATTAATAGGTATTAATGACCTGAGTGCGTTCTGGTCTCCGTTTTGCCCCCAAGGAGACATCAGATGACTGGCGCTTTGTCTCACAGTAGTGCTCTTGGTCTACTGATGTCTTGTTCATTAGGAGTGGTTTTTCCAGTCCATTTTTTGAAGATGGCCATTAATGAGGCAGGGCCATTCATGCTATGGCATCCTTGGCATCACGCTCGATATCTGAGGCTGAAGTCTCAGTCTTCAATTATGTTGTGCTCCAGGCTGATTGCAGTCCAACCCAATGCAATATCATTACCATGCAGGTAGTCTAGAAATCACTGCTTGCCTTTCATTTTTATTTAGGTACTTAATAATTTTGTCAGACAAATTAGATTTGTAGTTATTTGTTTTATAAGTTATGTGAAGGAATCGTAACTTCGGGGGGGTGAAATCCATCTAGCTCTCTGCTGAAGATGGAACAGGCTTGTGTGTTTAATGAAAGAAAGGTCCTCTTCTAGGTGCTTGATGTAAATGGACATGACTCCAATAAAGCAGTGGGGGCTTCCTGGGGTGTACATGACTTCCCTCTCCTGAAAGCTGATTACAGGGTCAAAACTAAAAATGTTGCCTAAGTAGTTCTTACGTCCCATCATGCACATGGTGTGATTTAAGGGTTCCATAGGTAATTGTAAAGACTTGGTGCTTTAGTTGGCTTCTCTCTAAGTGTTTCTGCTGGTTGTTGTGCAGACTGAAGGTGGTCTTAAAGCACTTCACCCTACAAAGCCACCCCCCAGGATGTTTCAGCTTCTACAAACCAAACACAAGCACGGCTGACCTGAAATCTGCCGTTTGGGGTTACCTGCGGCCGTGGGCTTGTTATGCCACTGTGAAGCACAGTGAATTGCAGGTCCTTCTGCAGTATCAGGGTACTGCTGGACTTCAGCCTCAGCCTGTGTCAGTGTCACATCCTGTTACTGTTATTCGAATAAAAAGATGAGTATACTTACTTTTATTTAAAAAAAAAAAAAAAAAAAAATTCTGGATTTCAGTCTTCATTAATAATGACATCAGGGTATGATATTTGATATAACCACTATGCTGCCTCCTTTTTAAAGTTTAGCGCCGCTTTTGTTTGTTCATTGTAAATCATTTGAAGTTTAATGTAATTACCTTAACATTTATGTAATTATTAATGCTGTCAAACGATTAAAATTTTTAATCAGATTAATCACAGGGTTGCTGTGGATTAATCACGATTAAAAATCATTCATTTTTAATCTATATTAATCACATTTCATTTTGCCTGAGCAAACAGACTCAAGAAAAAAGGGAATATATATGCACTTAACATGTTTATTGAACATCTTGAACACGAGTCGGATGCATTTCATCTGCCACAGAAGTGCAATACCATGGACCTATATCAAAAAACAAGATTTTTTGCTTAGCCGGACAACTCGGATTTAAGGTACCTCAGTTTAAATGGTCTTTATCTTCGTTCGCTTACAATTAGCATGAACTACCATAAATCTGACAAATAATCCAACTAATCATGAAGTCCAATTCTAGCCCGGTTAATTGCCATTGTTAGCAATATCAGTTGATAACACATTACGTGCGGTGCTTTACATATAAAACTCTGTAGCAACACGTCCCCAGATAAGTTGGACGGTATAGTGTGTGTGACCGATTTTATGAGCCACAAATGAGAAGTAGTGCTTAAACAGTATAAAAGTACAACTTTCCCTTCTGTTGATAAAGGGCGCAGCCATCTTGGATTCTGAACTCGGGATCCTCTGTGCTGCTCAGAGATATTTCTCGGATCTCCGAGAAACGGGAGCGCATGTCGTCATTCTGCGCTGCAGATAGGTTAATTGCGTTAAAATTTTTAATCAGATTAATCATGATGATGGATTAATCCCCGTTAACCCGTTAATTTTGACAGCTCTAGTAATTATATTATAGCCATTAAACATTAAAATCATTTAGCTAATTAACAAAATAACCAAACTTGTGCCATTTGAAGGGTGCTTATTATATGCATGTGGATTTATTGTGATCTTTGGCTAGTATTGCATATTTAGTGTTGTACGTTTAGATAATTTGGTTTCAGTATTTTGGTGTAGAAATGTTGTCTGTACAGCACTATGGGGAAATCATTTGAATATATTGGTTATGCCTTTGGGATAAAAATTTCTTTGGTACCACATTCTAGGTTTTCCGGCCGTGGTCTTTAAAGGCAATTACATTAATGGCTTGAACATCATATGGTCTCTCACTCTCCACTGGTGTCCGAAGGCTCTAGGTGTGGATTTATGTGCGGCTAACCGTTGGCCACGATGCCAGAGTGAACCGCCATTCCCAGTCGCTGGTGGTCTCCTCCAGCTGTCTGCCTCATCCGTGTGCGATCAGATAGATGAGCTCACATGCTGGGGCAGGCAAAGGGGGAGGGGGTTGTTTGGAAAGGAGGAGGGAAGGGGGAGGAGCCTTTGTGGCGTGCTGTCCGGGTCATAACTCTCAGGGAGCCACTGTGCCGAACGAATCCCACGCCACTGTCTCCTTCCAGGGTCCCACTGCACCGGGGCTACGGTTCGTGTCACACTCTGTAACTCCAGACGGATCCGCTCCAGGCTCTTTCCGCACGGCAGTGGATGGGCGGGAGTTCACCCTGGGGTAAGTGTCACCTGTCTCTGGCATTCAGCCAGGACAACCTGGATTTGGGGTGTCGAATGACGCCCTATCTCCGGCTTGGGACAGCTAAACTTTTTGATTAGAAATGCAATAATAACATAATGTAATGTCTTGTTTTTAAGAGGTTGTGGTAATTTCCATGGAATCACTGTAAGATCTGCTCTGTGTTATGGTTGAATATAAAGTGTGGAAATCAGCAAAAATGTAGCTTGGGTCCAGAGTGTATTTATTGACATTTACTTTAATTAGGAAGCCAGAATGGAATGATCACAAAGCCTGAGTTTGTTACCCCAGTCATTAAGTCAGTTAAACTTTTTCAAAAGTTTCTTGAGGAAGAAGGCATATTGATCTTGTTCGGCATGTAATTTCTGCTCCGATGTGGCATTCAGACATAGGTGTGTAACAGCAAAGAGGTTATGAAATGCTTTGTCTCGTATTTAGGTAATTAACCTTTATACATGCTTGTGCACACATACAGACACTGTAACACTGATAAAAACAGTAGTAAAGAAATGAGATTTCGTGGCCTTGACTTTATTGCCGTTGGCCAACGTTCTGGCATCGCTCTGTCATTGTGGCGTCCGGCCGGTTATACAGGGAAGGGTTTTTGCCCCGGCCTCAGCCCATCTCAGTCATTTTGCCAATGCTGCCCATCTTCTGGCAAGGCCCTTTCTGAGCTCGCGGTCAGGCTGGCCAGTCGTGTTTCTGAGGAGGTGCAGGTTAGAAGTGTGTGATGCAGGAACACGCCCTTCGGGAATTCCAAGCTCCAGGATTCCAGGTGAGCGAGTTCTCGCACGTGTGGGTGGCGCGTGGCGCGTCTCCTGAGATCACAAACCTGACATGAAAGAAATGAGTTAATCTGAGAGGATGTAACAGTCCCAGGTGCGATGTTGGAAAGACTTATACACCCCTCTTTTATACTCCGTATCCAGTTCAGGGAGGCAGTGTGAGTAAAATAATAATGGAAATAAAAATGGATATTAAGTTTGCTCGCCCTCCCCAATACTACTAATGAGTGCTAAAATCAGCAGTCAGTTTGTGTATGATGAATGCCTTCAAATAAGATGCTCAGCTCGAATACAAGGCAAAACATTAAAATACTTCGGGGACACAATTCAGCAGCATCTATAGATGGGAATACCCAGTGAGGCATTCCAAAATGACAAACTGATGGTGTGGTTCCACTCTGGAATTCTTTCTACATGCAGGGTGTATTTTAGAGGTGCCATATGTCATCTATGAGTTATATCACGCTCTGCATTGTTTACAGGGCAGGCATGGCTGTCATCAGCATAGAGATGGATCTCAAAGACAGCCAGTCAGATTTACCTTCCTGACAGTTTTATTTCTATATATATATATACACACACACGCACACGCACACACGCACAGATCAGACCTTTTTCTATCATGAGATGAGAAATGTCTTTTTCCCGGCTGGATCTTAAAAGTGCTATTAAAAGTGTTTGGGGGATGATTTATATGGCTTAAAGATTTTCAATGGGCTGTGTTTGATGTGTAACACATCTGTAAAATGCAGACAGGTTTTTGCTGACCCTGTACAGTATGAAAGAGACACTTTAGTGAAATTGGGCATATTCAACTAGGAAAAGTTTTGTGCTTCTTTATGCAGTATATAATGAGATGCACTGAGGATGCCTTGTAGGCCTTGGGATGACTATATTGGGATGGGGTGGCCTCCTTCAGCTTGGAAAGTTGGTTTTCCTCCCTAGTGAGCTCAGGCCTGTCCAAGTGTCATGTGCAGCTTTGGTCAGCATTTAGGCTGGTAAAGTGTTCCCTGGAAGGGTACGAGCAGGAAGACCGTAAGCACATCCAGCACGAATCTCAGCTGCACGTGTGATTCTGCAGTGTCATCGTGACACCAACTGACATGCAGTAGCACTTAAAAACAGCCACGCTGTCTCGGCACAATTTTTTGGAACGTGTTAAAATGGTATGGAAGTAATTATATTCTCCATGTATCTGGCAGGCTGACTGAAACCATGCAGCTGTGAGTCCAACATGGTTTCCCATGCGAATCAAGGAAGCCGGCACCTTATTCATGAAAACACGGCCTCTTTGATGTGCCTTTAAAACACTCTGGCCTTTTGAGACTTGTCTCTACTGAGCATCTTTCCATTTTCTTACAATGTAAAGCATTTACATTTGGAACAGTTATCACGAAATAGCCATGCTGTGTATGAGGGTACTGTTTGACAGTTTAGAGACGACTGAAGGATTAATGAAGAGTACAAGCTATAGAGGCACTAGATTTATGACTAAGAGGTCAAAGTTCAGTCCTTAGATGTGTGCTGCATTCTGCGAGCTGTAAGGTCCGTGGTACTGCTGAAACACTACAGAACATTCATTCATTGTGGACTTTGAAGCCATTCTTCGTACCTGAGGGTTGTGGGAACTTACTGATCCCCGCATGATGCCTTTTTTTGTCAACCCATATGCTCATTCACCTGCTTGTCCCTCCCAATCAGGTGAGGTTTGATGAGGTGTCCTGCTACAGTTGACGTTGTCTTCTCAGGTGACAAATTGTTTTCACGGTAGTAGAGCCTGGTAGTCGGTTCAGGGTGTCAAGTGCGACTTATTCTTCCTCATTCCAAACAGAAGAAGTAACAGTTGGTGCCTTTTGAAATTAGCTTTCGTCTGTATTGTGTTGCTGTCTATGGGAAGCATTTGGTGTAATTTGAATCTGTACCTCAGTACCATTTTAAGGCAATAATCATGACTATCGCTGGGTGTGGTAATTAGTTTCTGTAATATAATGCAATCATTTAACAGAAGCTTCCGTTAAAAGTGAATTTGAGTGCTCCTTAAGGACTGTTATGATCAATTAGGGAGCAGTGCACTTTGTCGCATGGGCTGGAATGCAACCACCATGCTAAGAA